CTAACAAATTTGGCCGTGGAGGATTTCACCGTACCCTAAAGTCTTTGCTTCCCCATTCAAGCCTCTTAATCCACCCTCCTAATGGGATTCCTTTTTAACTCTGAATTTTCACTTTAATATTCAGTCGGTAGGAATCCTGCTTAAGCAATTGGGATCTGAAATGTAACTAGGGTCAGGATTACATTTACAGAGTCATTATGAAATTCTTTGGATTGATGCTTCCTTACATTTATTGGAACAATATCAATTGTATGCGATTAAAGTAACTTAATTTCACTACCGATTGTGCTGTCAACTATAAACTACAGTCGACTAACCTTTTTCTTTCTTACCTTCCATATTGTTTTACCACCAAAATTTTATAAGATTTGGAAGGGCTTTTTGGCAATTAAATTAATCACCAGCGTCAAGCATTTGATCACCTGAAATGTTTTTCCTTCAGATGGCGTGTCTATGATTTCCATCAATGAACGGATCAGCGCTAATCCTCAATCCTCCAACTACTGTCGTCTACAGTCAGTCTTTAACATCTCACCTACTTAGCAATTGCGATCAGGGGGTTAATGAAGGTGCTGCCTTTACGAATTTATTACCTTAGTTTTCGCCAGTTAGGTCAAGGCACATGACCTGTCAAAAAGTAAATCCATTCGGACGTGTGCTATCTACATGCCTCGTATCACACACTTGGCTTGAAACGAATTGGGCTGATAACTTATGGGAATTTGCACATCATTGTCTCAGATCTCTCCTTCAATCTACGATCCAGCAAAAATGGGATAGGTTAAAAGGCGTAGAGGGGTCATTGTTTCTAATTTTGTTTTCCCTTTTTAGACCTTTTATTTCCAGCAACACAAAAGGGTAACTCCACGATGTGCCTGCGTAGGCTGAGTGTCACAAATGTGTGACAAGCCTTTAACCAGCCCATGATGACTGGTTGGAAGGTAATTATAGCTAAAATGAATCGGTTAGCTATTGCTATTGTGGACTATGGCAGACAATTTTTACTCAAGACTAAGATTTAAGAGAGGAACGGTGTCTGATACTTGGCACCCAATTTGGTTGCAAAAATATCTATTTACAGACTTCACGATTGAGGAATCTGAACTATGAAATAAAGCCAAAGCACTATTACTATAGTTTTTCCGAAAATCAAAATAGTTAGCCCATAATATGGGCTAGATGTGGCTCTGACAACTATAAGTTCGTTCAAGCGATGTCTGACAGTCCACATCTGTCAATTTTTATGGCAGCCTTTTTTGATGAAGGATTTCGTGAGTGAAATTAACAAGGCCTGCCTATCTCGCTCTTTATCTCATTTTATCTTGTACAAAATACGGGGAGCTGACAGCAGCCCATCACTTAGGGTAGTCATTGTTTTCCGCACCTGCTTGATCAAGTAGCAAAGAACGTGTTTTTGGAAATTGGCAAAGAATCTCCGCCCCATTAGAAGTTGACCTTTTCACTTTTAAATTTTTCTATAGGACGTCTCATGAGAGGGTGTAGCTACCATCAGATGACCAAAGATGATCATGTGATTTCCATCCATAACAATAGGCAATACCTCGTTCATTAAATCGCGTATAATGCATGCCACGGCCGCTACACATTGTAAAGCATTAGACAATGGTCAGTCGAATAGTCGCCCTCGTCAAACTTCTTGTAAGATTTTTGAGAAAATGCTGAGGCAGAAATGGATTAAGAACTTGATTCTAGCGGTGGATAGATGAATCACACCAGGAATGGAAGTCTATGTACTTATGAGGATGAAAACATGTGTATAACTACTTAGCGAAGTAATTTGCAATTTTCGTGTCATGAATGACTTTCCTTATCTACCAGTGAGATCGTGGTTACTAAGCCATTGGATGATAATTTTTATAAGGTGTTTATTTGTTAACTAACTTGTGATGAGAAATGGGTTTCGCATTCCAGTGTAAGTCATCAGTTATCCCCACTTGAACGGTTCACTCAACAGCCAATCACTGCTAAAATTCGTACCACTTCGTACCCAAAAGACAATATTTGCTTTGTATGTCGTTCGTTACACCTTAATTTTGGTCGCCGCCTACTTTGTTTTGGAAGGGCATGACTTCATAAGGAATGATAAAAAGGAGCTAAAATTATTATTTGTTAATAACCTGTTGAACGCAAGACAATTACTAACAAACCTTTCCGTTTGATGCAGCCGAAGAGTATTCAAGAAAGGCCTTTCTGCTTAAAAAGCAGATGGGAATATTCGATTAGGCGTTTAAAACTACTTTTTACACTAATTTAACGACAGTCAATTCTATACACCCATTTGGAAATCAGATGCTCTAGAAGTAAAAAGTTAAATTAAGTAGGCACTGGCATTTAATGCACTCTTGGGAGTGACTTTTGGAAGTGTAGATGAATTTGGCTAACATATAAAAAATAAATAAATTTTAATGGGTTTATTAATGGGCAGGAGGTGTAAATTCCGATCTACCCTCCGGCACGGATAAAACCAACCACTGCTGAAAGATACACATCCTCTTAGCTCGTCTAATATTAAAAGCATTATTATGCAAGACATACATTACACTATCCTCTCGTCCATTTGATCACCCTCATTCTCTCCCTTCTTCATGTGTAGCCCTTGTGTTTGCCAGCGCAGTGGTGGTTTTCTTCCGTTAGTGCTCGCACTTCGCCTTCACATCCATCTGGTAGCGTGCCCTCGTAGGATCGAAATTGGAAATGGTCAATGGTTGATGGATGAGTATGTAGTCATTTGTTATGATTGCTATAGTCTATAGGCGAGAGAGCCCTAATTACGCAGAATGCTGCTTCGCTTCACGACTGATGCGACTTTCGAATCTGCCTATTTTATGATACTGGTCTGCCTCTCGATTGACTTTATTCTAGTTCTCCTTATCATAATATTTTTCTGCCTGATATGTGACTGTCGTGTGATTTGAAGAGTTTGACTTATTTACTTTTGCTGTCCTAGCAAACACTGTAGAAAACAGTTAGCTGCTACATTCGTGTTTTTAAAAAGGAGATTGGAAGATGCTCTCAATTTACATTCTGTGACCACCTTAAATGATAGAGCATTGCTTGATTTTTGGATTAGAGCCCTGTACCTTAGGGCCACTTGTCTTAGGATCAAATTGTAAGTCTTCTGGTTGTGTGCCTTTGTTGAATGCTTTCTGCAGCGTAGTACGGGTGCAATTATTTATCGACCACTCACCAACATGGCAAGTGTCCAGTCGCCGTGCTTTTCTTTGAAAACCGGAAGGTTGGAATAAGTAAAAATGATCAATTTGTCCTGTTTTTGGCTTTCCTTATTGCCAACCGCACTGAATGAAGAAAACTGAAAGGACCAATACTTCGCTTTGTGTCTCCATGTATACAGTCCTAGCTACTTTGGTGACTTAGACACCAGTAACGAAAATATAAGGGTTCCTAAAAGGAACCTGGCCCTCAGGCTTCGATGATATTGTGAAGTGGTATATGTAAAGCATTATTTTTGGATTTCCCTTCTGCACCATCAGCAAGTCCTTGCAGCACAGACGCTCACTGCCCTTCAAACAAAGAAGGGAAGCATAGGCATTAATTTTAATGTCAGAATTAAGACATCTTGGCCTGATTTCAAGTTTGCAGATTATGAAGTTGCGGAAGAGTTGACAACGGCGGCCACGAATAACTCACGATGAAAATGGGAATGAAATCGGCAGCATTGGTGTTACTGATGTGTAACTTCGTAGGCAACAAACGTGGATCATTGTAACTGGTGGATTCCTAATTATTAAGATATGCAAGCAGTGGTGGAACGACTACTGAATTTGGGACGGGTGCACCACAAGTTACAAGTGGCTGCAAACTTCCATCCTTGACGCCATCCACGCCATTGTTACCCCAAGGAGTCTGCACAACCCATGAATTTCACCACGTTCCCTCATTGGGTTCTTCGATACATTGAAAAAATAACTTAGTTTTGCAATCTCTGCTCAGTCGGCAAATTGATTGTTAAAAGAAATTTCTAGGTCCTGAACAAATGATTGCTTTATTTTGACGGTGATTATGTGAGGTGGCATTTAATCAACAACAGAAAATTAGCGTCAAAAGTCTGAATTGAGATTGCAGAAGCATAAAATCAGAGGGTTTTACGGGCGTGTTTGATTGTGGGGATGTAGGAGTGCTACCATATGGAAGGTTAGAAATGCGAAAATTTGTAGAAGATGGATGGGAGGGAAAAAGTAGAGAGGAAGTGGTGGAGGGTGAACTAATTATATGGTTGATCTCTGTACCAACTGAAGCTGTTCATCGAGCTGCATCGGTTACCTTTCAGCAGGACCTCCCCTGTTCCAGTGTTGTAAGACAAAGGCTTTGCACAAAATGGCCACTGCTGTTGAGTCTGCGAGGAGTTGGTAAAGTCACGGTGTATTCCCTTGCAAGAGCATCAACATATCTTCTGGTTTAGTTTAAAGTACCTTGCAGCGCTGATAATGTTGCTGTGTGGTTCAGTGCCAATTAATTACTAAAAGTTTCAGTCAACATCGATTGCAAATAGAATGAGCATATACAACCCACTGATACTAAAATGGCCACAAATTCAAAAATTACCCACCTAACCAAGGTTTTACTAGGCACTTAAGCTTGCTTATTTGAAGGATTATGTTGTGGTATGGGATGACAGCAAACCAATGCTTCATCCTAGCAGACAAAAACCCACTGACAATAGATAAGACGCTGTTCTTTCTTTTATAAAATTTGGAGTACTTTAAACCATAAAATAACTGGAAAGGAAATAGGCCTTCAATGGGCTCACCCTATGTTGTACTTCTGACCTTAGTGCTCTTGTAATGTTCAGCACCACCCGTCTTTAGCGCATTGGAGGATAGTATAGATAGTAAATTAGTTCAGCTAATGAATATGGCCAAACCCGTCCTGCTGGATTTGTACATATACTTTTAACCAAAAGCTTGCACTTGTGATGCGATTCGCAATCACTAATTTCCTCATTCTTGGGTTTTTTTTGGAGAAGTGGAATCATTTTCTTCCATAGCCTTTAAGACTGCAAACCGATGTGTGTGAAGTCTGTCAAATGTACTTTCTCGGATTCACCTGCCTCTAAGGTCACAGGGACTTAATTAACACAGGTGTGCTTCCTTTCACTACTAGTACTGTATTAACTAATGCCTGTGTTGAAATGTAATCCATCCTTTTTGAGCACAAATAGTGCTAAGAGTTACAACAAATGCACAGGTCACATTATTTTATGCGAAAGAGGCAAGAAGTGCTTTTATGATTTAGAGTAAATGTTGTAGCAAATGAAGCAATTTTTGCATTTGTTCTCTAGAAATGAGAAACAGTAGGGGAATGAGGAGTTAAATAGCGATTCTACTGTGAAATCTTGTGCATTTGGAAAACTATAAGAAGGTTTGTCTGCTGCACATTTTCATTGAAATGTGATTTTACTTAAATTTTGCTGTAGTTTGGACTACTGCTAACTGTCTTGCTTGTCAA